GGTGTCACTGCAGCCCTTCCCTCCATGCTGACACTCCTGTTCCACACCGGTAGCACCCTCAGCCAGGGGTGGTGGCCCTGGTGTGAGGGAGCCCTTGGCACCACAGCACAGTCCTGTCACTCCCCAGAGGTGCCAGGTGGGGTGAGCTGGGCTGCTCAGCATGGGGACAACATGCTCAGGTGGGTTGCCACCCTCAACTAAAATCCAACAGAGAGTTGACCAAAAGGTGGTGAAGCACTGGAAGGGGAGGCACAGAGATGCTGTGGGACCCTGTCCTTGGTGAAACTCAGCCTGTGGCTGCAGAAGGGCTGGTGTGCCCCAGCCTGGTGGGACATGAGCCCCGCTTGGGAGGAGTCTGGGCAGGAGACCCCAGCAGGTGTAACTGCAGCAGCTGGGTGTTTGTGGCACTGGAAACCTGGGGGCAAACCCTGGGAGCTGTGGGAGGGTAAGGACATGGTAAGCAGCCCTGACAATTGCAGCTGCTCCTCTCTAGACCCTGCGCCATGGTGGTCCCCGATTTTGAACTGATCTGCGAAATCATGCTTGTGGCAGAGGGGTTTCTCGATGCCAGGCTCCTGGCAAGGAAGTTCATCACTCTCTACACGCTCTGCAAAGAGCTGCTGTCGAAACAGGTAATTAACAATATTACACAGTGCTGGCTGGGAGAGGAAAGAGTCCATCTGATCCTCAAAGCTGACACTCTGTGGTGGGATTGCTGGTGGTGACACACAGAGTGACAGCTCTGCACAGCTCAGGTCTGTGGCTGGACAGATCCTCTTCTACCAGGTGCATCATATGGCATCTTTCTGCCTTAAGGAAGGAATCAAGAAGCCCAAAAGCAGAATAACATGGAATTAGAATTAGGCCAGTTAAGAGCATTCAGATGTTATTCATCTCAAGAGAGGTGATTTACACTATAAAGGTGCCTCCAAGAAGAAAGTCAGGTTCCCAGTTCCAAACCACCCCCATGACTGACAGAGGCTTCTCCTGTAGATGAGCCCAGTTTAGGTCCAGCCCAGTGGGTGCCATGTGATGACCTGGCTGATGGAGAGGGTGTTCCTCTGCAGTGCTGTTTGAAGCAGTTCTCCCCCACCAAAGTGAAATGGTGATTCTCTGCTTCCTGCCACAGGACCACTATGACTGGGGGCTGCGGGCCATCAAGTCCGTGCTGGTGGTGGCAGGCTCCTTAAAGAGAGGGGACCCCGGCTCTGCAGAGGACCAGGTCCTGATGAGAGCTTTACGAGACTTCAATATCCCCAAGATCGTGACAGATGACTTGCCTGTGTTCTTGGGGCTGATTGGAGACCTGTTTCCAGCACTGGACGTTCCCAGGAAGAGGAACCTCGAATTTGAGAAGGTGCAAGCCCAAGCAGGGCACCATCCCCAGAGATGTGCCAGTCCTGGCAGGATCCAGAGACTGATGCTCTATTCAGTGCTCCCGGGGCAGCTGGCTCATCTGCAGGGCCTCTCCAAGGCTGCTGGTGCTCAGTGCCTGCTCTCCTTCCCAGGTGATCCGTGAGGCCGTGGTGGAGCTGAAGCTGCAGGCAGAGGAGAACTTTGTGCTGAAGGTGGTGCAGCTGGAGGAGCTGCTCCAAGTGCGACACTCCGTCTTCATCGTCGGCAACGCCGGCTCCGGCAAGTCCCAGGTAGGGCCAGGCCATCCTGAGGCCATGGGCCCCCTCTGACCTTGGCCAAGCACATCCCGTGGCCTCCCATGGCTCCTTGGTGAGGGCTGTGCAGCCCCCAGCCCTGCCAGAGCATGTTCGGGCAGAGGACAGCAGTGCCAGGCGCTCGGGCACCGTGTGCCAGCCCTGCAGCTGAGCAGGTTTGGGATCACAGCTCAGGGGCTGCCCTGAGGGATACCCCGGGCAGAGCAGAGACAAAGACAGAGAGCAGACAGGGGCGCACTCTCAGGATTGACCCTGGGCGTGCTGTGGTGCTGGCAGGGTGACAGACAGGGCTGGGGCAGGGCTGGGCTCACACGGGGCCCTGTCCAGGGGCTGGCTCTGCTCAGGGAGCTCAGGGCTTTCCCACCCAGGCGGGAGCAGGGCCCCATGGCCCCACCGCAGGCAGAGGCTGAGATTGCCCCAGTGGGATCAGCACCTGTGGCTGCACCATCCTCTCTGCACAGGTGCTGAAGTCGCTCAACAAGACATACAAAATGCTGAAGAGGAGGCCGGTCACGATGGACCTGGACCCCAAGGCTGTGACCTGTGATGAGCTGTTTGGGATCATCCATCCAGCCACACGGGAATGGAAGGATGGTGAGACACCAGTGCTGTGAGCTCAGTTTGTGGGATGTGAGATGGGAAGACTTTTCCTTGGGGCTCTTTCCCGGAGTGGAAGGGAGAAGGGATGTGTTTCATGGGAGCACCAATCCCACGTGTCCTCCAGCAAAGGACTGCGTGTGGAGAGGAACAAGCCGAGTCTCTCTCTGGGGCAGGTCTGTTCTCCACAGCCATGCGTGACCTGGCCAACATCACCCATGATGGGCCCAAATGGATCATCCTTGATGGAGACATTGATCCCATGTGGATCGAGTCCTTGAACACAGTCATGGATGACAATAAGGTTGGTGCCATCACAGCCCAGGGGCTTTGCTCATTTGTGATGTCGGGGGGACCAGCTCCAGACATCCCCCACAACGAGCCCTTTCCCCCAGGTCCTCACCTTGGCCAGCAACGAGCGCATCCCCCTCACTCCCACCATGAGGCTCATTTTCGAGATCAGCCACCTGCGCACGGCCACGCCGGCCACCGTGTCCCGGGCTGGGATCCTCTACATCAACCCCGCAGNACATCACCCTGACCCAGTCCCTGCACCTGTACATGGGGGGAGCCCCCGCTGGCCCCGCGGGCACCGGGAAGACAGAGACCACCAAGGACCTGGGCCGGGCCGTGGGCATGATGGTCTACGTGTTCAACTGCTCCGAGCAGATGGACTACAAGGTAGGCCCGGGATGGGGGCACCCAGGTGAGCACCACGGGGTGTCTGAGACAAGGGACCCTGCGTCAGGGAGCCCAGGGGAGCCTTGGCAGGGAGGCTTTACCCCTGTAGGGAGTTTCCCTCGGGAAGAGCACAGTCCGTAAGGCACGAGCAGCTCTCAGCACTCGAGTTCTGTCACCAAATCCCCCACTGCACTGTGAGGGATCGCAGTGCCTGAGCCCCGTCCCACCGCTCTGTTTCTCTCCAGTCCTGTGGGAACATCTACAAAGGACTTTCCCAGACCGGCGCCTGGGGCTGCTTTGACGAGTTCAATCGCATTTTGGTGGAGGTCCTGTCTGTCATTGCGGTGCAGGTGCGTGCTGTCCCCACAACACAGTGGCACTGGCTGCCAGAGAGACTGCCCAGCTCACGTCCTGCATGCTGCCCCAGTTAAACCTGGCTCACAGGACAGTTTGCCACTGTTCTCTCCACTATGTCCTGTTTGGACACAGGGTGGGGGGTGGAATCCCAGCAGTGCAGGGGATTTGGGCACTGTTAAACCTCACAGCCCAGCTGTACCATCCTGGTGACCTGTCACCCCCAGCTCTGCCATCACCTGGCACAGGGAGTTGGGGTGATTAGGAAGGAGCTGGTTTAAGGGCAGCTCTCCTGCTGCTGCAGCTCCAGCAAGACCTCAATATTATTCCTAGCAAAGCCAAACCCTCAGGCTCACCTTGGGGAGCAGTCAGGGCACTGGGCAGGGAGCCAACACCTCTGCTCACCTGGCAGGTAAAATGCATTCAGGATGCAATCCGTGCCAGGAAGAAAACATTCAACTTCCTTGGGGAGACCATCTCGCTGGTCCCGTCGGTGGGGATCTTCATCACCATGAACCCTGGCTACGCTGGGCGCACCGAGCTGCCCGAGAACCTGAAAGCTCTGTTCAGGTGGGTCAGAGCCAGCCCTGTTCAGGTGGGCCAATGCCAGCTCTGTTCAGGTGGGCCAATGCCAGCTCTGTTCAGGTGGGTCAGAGCCAGCTCTGTGCATGTGGGTCGGAACCAGCTCTGTTCAGGTGGGTCAGTGCTAGCCCTGTTCAGGTAGGCCAATGCCAGCTCTGTTCAGGTGGGTCAGAGCCAGCCCTGTGCAGGTGGGTCGGTGCCAGCTCTGTGCAGGTGGGTCGGTGTCACTGCAGCCCTTCCCTCCATGCTGACACTCCTGTTCCACACCGGTAGCACCCTCAGCCAGGGGTGGTGGCCCTGGTGTGAGGGAGCCCTTGGCACCACAGCACAGTCCTGTCACTCCCCAGAGGTGCCAGGTGGGGTGAGCTGGGCTGCTCAGCATGGGGACAACATGCTCAGGTGGGTTGCCACCCTCAACTAAAATCCAACAGAGAGTTGACCAAAAGGTGGTGAAGCACTGGAAGGGGAGGCACAGAGATGCTGTGGGACCCTGTCCTTGGTGAAACTCAGCCTGTGGCTGCAGAAGGGCTGGTGTGCCCCAGCCTGGTGGGACATGAGCCCCGCTTGGGAGGAGTCTGGGCAGGAGACCCCAGCAGGTGTAACTGCAGCAGCTGGGTGTTTGTGGCACTGGAAACCTGGGGGCAAACCCTGGGAGCTGTGGGAGGGTAAGGACATGGTAAGCAGCCCTGACAATTGCAGCTGCTCCTCTCTAGACCCTGCGCCATGGTGGTCCCCGATTTTGAACTGATCTGCGAAATCATGCTTGTGGCAGAGGGGTTTCTCGATGCCAGGCTCCTGGCAAGGAAGTTCATCACTCTCTACACGCTCTGCAAAGAGCTGCTGTCGAAACAGGTAATTAACAATATTACACAGTGCTGGCTGGGAGAGGAAAGAGTCCATCTGATCCTCAAAGCTGACACTCTGTGGTGGGATTGCTGGTGGTGACACACAGAGTGACAGCTCTGCACAGCTCAGGTCTGTGGCTGGACAGATCCTCTTCTACCAGGTGCATCATATGGCATCTTTCTGCCTTAAGGAAGGAATCAAGAAGCCCAAAAGCAGAATAACATGGAATTAGAATTAGGCCAGTTAAGAGCATTCAGATGTTATTCATCTCAAGAGAGGTGATTTACACTATAAAGGTGCCTCCAAGAAGAAAGTCAGGTTCCCAGTTCCAAACCACCCCCATGACTGACAGAGGCTTCTCCTGTAGATGAGCCCAGTTTAGG